ATTTGCTCGATACATGTGCACGGCTTCCTCTTGGATAGCCTGACGGATTATCTTTCTAATTGAAATCAAAACCCCCTCCATATTTTCTCTCCATGAAATATGGAGATCCTCACTAGGTTACCGAAGAGGTAAGAAGTGTCAACATCAACCTATCGCTGGTCTTTGTTTACAAGCAGGTTGATGGTGGATTTTAGCATCAGTTTACTGTCGAAACAAATGAAAGAATAGTAGAGGAATTGGTCTTTGGTCTACTGCAAAACAATAACACTACATCATATTGCACGGTGGCAGAGGGAACCGCTTGAGTGACAAATTTTATCCACAACAAATAAAGATTTGTAAAAATTATTTGTATTTCAGTGTCGAATATCAACAAGCCTTCCACGCCATAATTCGATTCCGGCTTCCACCTAAAAGCATCACGCTTAATACCGTCACACCATTTGCAACAAACTCACGAATGGCGAGAATTTTTGCTGGAAATACTGCCCTTAAAAATAGACATAAATGTTAAAAAACTCTTCAAAATAATCAAATTTCCAATAACCAATAATTAAGTTATTATAAATTGTCAGTCAGCATCTAGTCAATATCAAAGCCAAAGAAGAAAGTGTGTTTTCAGAGCATTCAACATTCTGCTGTGCTGCAAAATGAAGCTGCAGGAACCATATTTTAAAGATTTTTATGCATTTTGTACTGCAAAGCGCCGCAAAAACGCACATTACAGCGGCTTTGAATGTGGCACGGTTTTAGGGGGGCTGAAATCAGGTTGATTTTGTACTTGCACACTTTCACATGGATAGTAAACATCCTCACAAAATCCAGGCTCCCTACAACTTAATCTGGCTGCCCAGTAAGTGGGTACTGAATCTGAAATTCTATTTAAGCAGCCTAAGTGTGCTTCGAGGTTTAATGTAAAACTTTTTGGTCGTACGTAGATTAAGAAACTCCAGCTCTGTAGCTTCTTCGGTCTCTGAAATCACCAAATTGCCGTTATGCTTCAATGTGTGCCGAAAATACAATCCAGAAACTACTTTAGGTGCAGGCTTTCTCGCATGAGATATAAATATTCCCACAAAAATTGAGCTATTCTTTTCTGGCTTGCTCTAAAGTGATCACGGCTCCAGCGATGAATTTTGATATGTCCAAACGCGTGACGTGGGCGTACATTACAGCTGCATTTGTAACGTTTAGCTTACATATGAACAGGGGGGGTTCTTACAGTGTTTTAGCTTCCGCTCTGGTTGGTTCTCGAAATCGCTCCCAGCTAAAATTTGCAAATTCTTCTTTCGGCGCACGTACTTGACACCCGTTTGTACTTTAAGATATTTTCAAAGCGTTAGGACTGCGCGTAAGTTTGGAGCATGCTTCAAATCATCAGCTCCCAAGCTTCTCTGGTTCTAGATTTGAAGGTAGATTGGCAAAGTTCGTTCGTACACACACACACACACACACACACACACACATACACACATACACACACGCACACTTACACACATCTGCACTCTTGAAAATATGCATTGTTGCTCACTGTGACAACGCTACTGCGTGGCATGGCAAAAATGCAGCGAAATTTTACTTGGACAGAAATCTGCAGTCGTTTTTCACTTGTCTGCGGTGGTTACTATAGGCATTTGTTACCATTCAGGCTATTTCCGAGTGCGTTTGCCTTTCTAATACAAAACAGGCTTTGATTGTTTACTCTTACTGTAGCTGCTGAAACAAAACATCTGTGCCATTGAATTAGCACGAAAAATTCACGAAAAAGAAACACTAAAGAACTGCGTTGCAGGACAATGTACCACACGTCGGTCAGCCAAATCAGGACCCAAACACTGAGCTTCAACGACCTCGCCAAACTTTTGTGCAATTTAACGAAGCATGGAACGAAGTTATTTGATTTGACAGATTCAGGGCCTGCAGGTGCTTTTTTCCGACGCTTCACAAAACGTATTGCTTGCAATATATAGGACGTCGGATGAGGTCGACAGAGGCAGAAAAAGTTCGGTGAAAAAAATTTCTAAACTAAGCTGAAAACGCCTACAAAGATTGAAAGTTGGGCGACCCATAAGCGTGTTTGTTTGGCACCAGGAATTGTAAAATCACACTTTGAATTCACTCCTCCTTCATGCATTTTGTGCTGCAACAGTTAAACAAAAAGCACGCTGTCATCATTCTATCTGTGTGTGTTTACATGTGTATAATTCAGCTTTAAACTTCGCTTAGGTTTTGCGCCCGCGCTAGTGAAAATTCAGCTTGGGACATTCTTGGCATCAGGTTAACCCGATGATCAGACTAAGCAAAAAACAATATTTGTTTTAAGGGTGTCTGCTATTAACATGCTAGCCTCCAGCGTTAGATAAGCTTCTGCCTAGACATGGACTTTGCGTACAGGCGTCTCAAACGTTCAAGTTGTAATACTGCAGCTACACCTCTATGCGGAACGGATGAGCACAAAAATGCATGATCACTCCGGCAAGCCTGATGCTTAGCTAACTGAATCGGTAAATCCCAAAATCAGAAACCTTTCGGTTGCTTCAAGTGAGTGGCTGAAGCACTTAGGAAGTAGCCAAGTGACAGCAAGTGATTGTATATGCGCATATATATATTTGTATAGTTATTTACTATCTGTTTGATGAATCAGTGTATATCGTGCGATTTTCAGGAGCGTTATCGAGCCTTGTTTGAGTTATTGCAACCATGCCAAATTTGAAAAACGCAAACTTTTCCTGCATCGACTATTTAAACCCAGCTGCAGCGTGCTTCAAGTAGTATATTCTGAAGAGGAACCTGTAACTGAAATCTCTTGTTGATGTAAATAAAAGACTGTCTACTCATTTTTTTTTTAAATAATAAATTGCTAAAAAGATTTTAAACGGTGCAAAACAATTTAGTTCCTCAGCCAGTAAACAAATGTTCGTGCTAGCAATGTAGCTGGGAATCTTCCTGAAGCAGAATTGTTTTTGTACTGGTTGGTAAAGCCATCTCGAGTACATTTTTTGACAGAGCCAATCAAAATCAACTTTTGCCTTAATCAATCCATAACTAGAGAGCAAAGGCTGTTGGTAACTAATTAGTTAAGACTCTTTTGATAACTAGCTCACTGTAAGAGGCGGAGCACTCGAAAGAATCCCAGTTGGTGGCAAATACTAAATTCAACCTTTTGCGACAGTGTTGTCAATGACTGTCTCTTTCTATTTGGAAGCAAACTGATGGCTGGTTCAAATCCTTTACGCATATACCAGCAACAAACCAGTAAGCGAATCGTAGAAGGGATTAGTAGTTACTTTACCGGAGTGGA